AGTTCTGAAAAACAGAATAAAACGATTTTGCTATCCTTCTAACTACAATAAGAACATCGAGTTGCTTTATGCCATTCTTAAAAAATCACTATCCTAAGATGCTGCTGAACAAACTGCTCTTCCAAGATGCTGCTGAACAAACTGCTCTTCCAAGATGTACCAACGGCAAGAATACATCAAAGACAAGCATAAGAAGAAGAATCAGTAGAACTTTTCTACTGCGCTACAGCAGGGGTTTATCACGACAGATCACAAACCTTTTCAGAGAGTTTACCATAGTTTCAGAAAATTTAGTGTACAGAAGATTAGGGACATACTTAAGTCAGCTGACAAAAAGAGTTAAAAAACTGGATAACTTCAATATGTGTATTCTACTTCACGTGGTTCCTATTCTAAAGTACAGCTTTTAGCCTACATATTAAAAATACTTGACACATTGCCAACTATCACAAAGTGGAAGTACTAAAAAACGAATTCAAGAGAAAGTTCATAAAAATGTGCTACATCCATTACTTTAGCTCTTCTATGAACTGTAAGAAAGATGTAGAAAACCTAAGTTATATTTACTCATTTTTGCTTCAACAATACTTGACAAGACGTAACAGATTCGAATATGGAGACAACTTATCATAACATACACATATGACCTACTTGCACCGGAGAACAAATTTCATTTCCAGGTTGATTATATTTTTTAATAAATGTAGATGTAGATATTAATATAACTTTGTTACATACGACATCGAGACATTGACATAATATAGCAAGATTTTCAGCAAACGGGAAGAAGAATTCTTCTATTCTACTTCTTCCCTTTGTGGTACCTTTGACAAGAAGTTGTGTTTTTTTTTTTGTTTTTAGATGTTTTTGTGTTGTATTTGTGAAAATACCTTTTTATATTGTAATGTTTTTATTTAAAATTTAAAATGTTATGATAATGTTCACTACAAGAACTAACTGAACATTTTCAATGAAAGTTTTAGATACTAACTTCCACCACTTGTACTAAATAATTTTTCAATTTAGGTGCTGATGAAGGTGACAGCCTATAACCGAATTTTTTACATTTAGAAAAAAGTTCTTCACCAAACTGGCTTATACCATCTTTAGCCAATCATTTACCTGACGCTTTCTCGAAAGTTACCTATCAAACCTTTATGCAGATCAACAACAGATAAAATTTTCATTATAAAGCAATTGATGGAAAAATACAGGAATAAAGAAACACACCCTTATATGTATTCTTTGATGGAAAAGGATATCATAGATTTCCTCGAGTGATTCTCTGTTGGGCAGTTAATAAGAAGACAGCCCCTGGTAAATATAATACGATTATGACAATTGTGAGAGACATGTATAAAGGAGTGACAACTAGTGTTTACAGGTATGGGAGATACTGATAAATTTCACTTGAAGAAATAATCACACCAAGGCTCTGTGCTTAATCCTCGTTTAGTTTTTATTAGTGTTGGATTAGATAATAGCAAATCTACAGGGTAACATTCCGTGGTGCTTAATATATACTGATGAGGTCGTGTCAGTAGGAAATGGTAAAAGCCAATTTAAACAAAAACTATAACAGTGGAGACAAGTTCTTAAGGGAAAACGTTTAAAAATTAGACGGACAAATACAGAGTATGTGGAATGTTCTTTTAAAGATGGATTTGCTACGAATAAAAATTTTTTTTGAACCTATTCTCTATCCTTCTATTGTTGGATATAGGTCTCCCCCAGTTCTCTCCATCTTTCCCTATTTTGAGCTGTTCTCTGCCATGTGGGACCTTCTTGTTTCCTGATGTCATCTTTTCACCTCATCTGCGGTCTGCCTCTTGATCTCTTTGCATTGTATGGACGCCACTTTCCGATGGCATTGTTCCATCGTCCGTCTTGGAGACGTTCATTGTGTCCAGCCCATTTCCATTTCAGTTTTGCTGCTTGTTCTATCGCTTCTACTGTCTTTGTTCTGGTTCTGGTCCACTGGTTACGTTTTCTATCTAAGCGATACACCCAACATTTGTCTCTCCATCGCTCTTTGTGCCTTCCTTATCCTAGCCAAATTGGCCTGTGTAAATGTCCATGTCTGTGTTCCGTAGGTGAGCACCGGTATTATACAGGAGTTATATACCTTGCTTCGTAAGTATAGAGGGATTGTTCGATTTTTTAGAACGTAAGAAAGTTTGCCGAACGCTGCCCATCCCATTCTTACTCGTCTCGATATTTCGGCTGTTTGATTTTCTCTGTTAGCTCTGATTGCTTGTCCTAGATAGATATACTCATTTTACCTGTTCTATTTTTTCTGTTTTTATTTTTATTGCCTCTTGGTCTTCCGTGTTTGTCATTACTTTTGTTTTGTTGAAGTTAATTTTTAGGCCTTTTTGCAGTGATTTTTCATGAAGTTCATTCAGCATTAATTTCAGTTCTTGTCGTTCCGAGGAGATCAGGAGTATATCATCCACATATCTAAGGTGATTTAGATAAAATGTATTTGCACATATTGCTCCACAAGGAATACGAGTGACTAAAACTAATTATTAAGGAAAAAATTGACTTAAAAAACATAAGAGACTGGACCAAAAACTCAGCATAGACCAATTGGTATAAATATCTTTCCAATTGTCAGACAACAAGCTATTCCATTCAGAAGGAGATTTTAACTTTAAAAAGACAAACTGGCAAAAGTATGCAGAAATACTAGATTCTGAGCTGCTACGTCTTGAACCAAAAGTAGAGACCTACGAAATTTGTAGAGGTACTCAAAAATGTTTCTAGAAAAGTTATCCTTAGAGTATATAGAATACAATATGTTCCTGGGATGTCCAGTGAGTCCAAAGAACCAATGTGAACATACGAAACCCTCCATTCCACTGACCCTTGTAGCCAAGAAATGGTTGACTTCGGAGCCGTACTATACCAACAGGTAAGTCAACCCAGACAGGAAAAGTGGACTGAGACCCTGGAAAAAATGGACATGGCACATAGTAGCAAAATAGCATTGAACCTTTTAAAAAAACTTAGCGGTAATCCAAAAGAACCTTAACCACCTTGCAAGGTTACAGCAAACTAAGACGCTGATCAACTCCTTATAAATGGAAGAAGTACGAACCAATACAAGGACCCAAACAGTAGAAGAAGATAGGATTCGGAGACAAACCAACTAGGAATTTCTTTTACACTAAAAGGGAAGGTTAAACAATGGAAACTCTGCAGATGTGGATTATATATGCAGTTAACTAATAAAGTGTCTAAGCTAAGGAGCAAAAAACTTCATTTTACAACTTAATAACACGTGCTGCAAAGAATGCAAAATTCCAAAATCATAGAGGAAATCTAAGTAATAACCTTGTTAAAACCACAAAAGGACCCAGAAAATCCCAGTAGCTACAAACCTATTTCGCTGCTGTGTCATTTTTTTTAAACTGTACGAGAGACTTATACTCCCCAGAATAGAAAAAATGCCGACAAGCACCTTATACCACCACGAGGATTCAGACCCGGCAAATCTTACACCGTTTAAGTCCTGGCACTAACAGAACACATTGAAAAGGGGAATTGAAGAAAAACTTATAACAGGGGCTGCTTTCGTAGATTTGACAGCAGCCTACGACACAGTAAGGCACAAAACATTGCTCTGCAAATTATACGACACTCTCAATAACCACCATCTGAGTAAAGCCGTATATTCCTTCCTGCAAAAAACAAGTTTTTTGTTATACTGGAGGGTAAAGTAAGTAGGTGGAAGGTTTAAAAAAACGGCCTCCCATAGAAAAGTATTTTAGCACTAATGCTCTTCAATATTCAAGCACTTCCTCTATGCTGACGATCTTGCAATATGTGCTCAAGGAAATAGTTTTGAAGAAGTGTAGGAAATACTTGAAACTGCCTTAAAAACAATGACAACTTACTACCTGCAGAATTCCCTGAGACCCAATCCCTCTAAAACCCAAGTCTGCGCTTTGCACCTTCGCGCAAAGAAAGCTAAGCGAAAACTTCAAATTGCGTGAAAAGATAATACATTAGAACACACAAACCAACCTATATATCTTGGAGTAACTTTGGACCGATCCTCACCTACAGACAACATTGCATATAACGGGAGGAAAAGTAACAATTAGGAGCAGCATACTCAGAAAGCTAATGGAAAGTAAATGGGGTGCACGCCCTGGTTTGCCTGTGCCTGTGCCGTTTTAAGAATAACGACACAGGCACTATATTTCTCAACTGCTGAATATGCGTGCCTTGTTTGGGGCAGATCTGTCCATACCAAACAAGTTGATACTGCGCTAAATGAGACATGTAGAATACTAACGGGGTGCATGAAACCAACGCCACTCTCAAATATATGTAAAGCAACGTGTTTTGCAGAACGCTGAACACGCAGAGGCGTTGCAGAGCACATAGAGAAAATTAAACAGATCGCGAACGACCGGCATGCCCTATACAAAGCTCGAACACCACGAAAGTGTCTAAAATCCAGGAAAAGCTTCCTTGGAACAGTGCAGGATTAACCGAGTATTCTGCTCTCCCCCAGGTTCAATGGACCGGATAGTCACTTTAAAACGTGGAAAACTATGAATAGGATAAGAGCGAGGGTCGCTCCAGTAAAATCAGACATATCAAAATAAGAAAAATAGACCAAGATAATGTGAACTGTGGAGAAACACAGAATATGGCGCAATATGAAATATCTTCTTACATGCAGAAACTGTCCTCATAGATGTACCCTCGAATGATGGTCGGACACGATAAAGAAAGTAAAGTGGACCTAAACTAAAGTAAAAATTTAAAATACGCTTAAGTCAAACCATTTCGATTTCCACGTATTTTGAAAACGATTGCTGAAGTGAAAATTTAAATGCAAAATAAACGTATTTTAAATTATAATATAAACGTATAACAGTAAAACTATAGTTAGGATTAATATTAATATCATGGTACTAGGAGATGCAGTATCTTAATAACATATCACACTATACGTTAGTTTATTGGGCAATATACACCTTAATAGGTTTGTTATATATGCAGGACTTTGGGCCCCATCTTTTAGAAAAAGTTGACAACTGGCACAATATTTGTCAGCGTCTTACAGATGTTAAGGAGGAGCTGATAGAGGAGGTGAAAGAAGGACAGTTTCCTGAAGATGATGCTTTGCAGGTATGCGTATTTCTGGTTCTCTATAAGCTAGATTGAATTGAATTAAATTAAATTAAAATAAATTAGATTGAATTTCTCAGTGTTCTTTGCTACAAACAAAAATATTTTATATTCAATTTGTGGTTGCTAGTATTTTTTGGATCTGGCTTTTTTTAGAAGATAGACAAAGAGAATAAATATGATGTACACAATTTATGAACTTTAAAAAAAACACCACTTATTTTAATACTTTTTGTTAATTTCATTATCCCCCTTTTAACCAAGTTATTTAATTTTCTGTAAAAATTGTCCGTATTAACTTTCTTAAAAAACAAACAAAATTTTATTAGGTGCCAATTATCTGATTTATGAATTCAATTCATTTTAATTAATTACTTTATGATATGGGTTAAAAACATATATGGTACAAGTACAACGCTTATTTCACAAATAATTTTACTACCCTTTTTGATTTACTCTCTGCGATGTTTCCGGACGGACACTGATTTAGTTTCTCCAAAATTAAACCTCCAACTGGTTCCAAAATAATAATAATGGCACTCTTTGAACCAAATGGTTTTCCCGACTTGACTGGCTATCTTGTACAAACTTTATATAAATTTTCTTTCTGTACTTACAGAGTAAGGAGTCTCTTCGGACACAAGGAGTACTGAATAAATAAAGAAAATATTATATCGATATTTTAAAGGAAAAAGTAAAAACTAAAAAAAAGTTAATAATACTCAATATTCAATATATAATATATATAATATCAATAGTATAATAATAAATAAACCACCAACAAAGTCTAATTTACTATTAGTTTAACTTGCTTCTTTTACAAAATATTATTATGTTTTAGCGATATAACTATTGCCTTTGGAACAATGGTTTTAAAGTAAGTACAAAAGTCATTGTATAATATTTTTCGAATGGGATTAATCAAGTACTAATACATAAAACACACGCATACACACACATTCTGCCACCTAATAAACCCAAAATCTTTCTACCTTTTATCAAAGATTCACTGACAAAATCGGTGGAACTCTTAATCCTCTTAACATCAAAATCATCTTTACGACTCACTTTAAGTTGTCCAATCTCGTCAGATCAATAAAACACCAAATACCCAATAATGATTATGGTGTCGACGAAAAACCTTGTTCCAGTTTCCCAAGAAAGATACATAGGACAGACAAACCGACAAATACACAACCGTATTTACGAACATTATATATCTGTAAAACATTCTGAGACTACTTCACCCCTAGCCCAACATCATATTTAGAGAAGTCACAAACATATTTAAAAAGCAAAAACCATCGCTCCTATCCGCTCCTTAAAATCGAGGATTATTCATCATTATCACTAGATACTGAGGAGTAGGCATATTGAGTGAAACCTCACTGCCGTTGTATATTTCTCATATTTTTGGTGGTACGTCACGAGTGAGGGAAGTAGGCAGATTGAAACCAGGGACTCGAACGGGACCATATGCCTCTTTATAATGGCTCTAAAATGATTACCGTAATGTAAAGTTTTAAATTTTTAACGCAGTTCTTCCCGAAAACTTATTAATTTAAACATGAGAGTTGAGAATGCATAACAGTATAGTACTCCAAGTACAACTGGGAGTATAGTTAATTAGGCCTTGAAGATCTGCATCATCAGTAAGAAGAATAGTACCATCAGCGTATCGTAAATTATTCATAAATATCACAAATATCTTCTGTATTTTCCGACTTTATAACTAGGTGTTTTAATCAAATTTTGAACAGTAAGGGTAACAAAACACAACCTTTCCAAACTCCTCTTTGGATATAATGACGAACTGGTAAACTGACCCCTTCCAGAGCGATCTGTGCCGATTTTATTAAAGATCGTCTGGAGCAAAGCCGGTTATGGTTGACTACATCTTTGACTTAATGGATTATCAAGTTACTGTTTTCAATGATCTTTTTGTACTTATTTCTGAGAAAGTCCATTAATGTAATTTGGGTAGTGAAATATGGCTGAAAACTGGGAGCTATCACATGGGTATAGATTTTTAACAACGCCAACAAATTTTCTCTTTATTTTTTATTTAGCACCTATTTTTTATACGTTTATAATCTTAAGACTGACGACGAAGCACTATTCTACCCTCTAGAAGACAGGAGTTATTGTAGACTGTCGTAAGGTATTTAATAGATGCTTGTTGAAGTCTGTACTTTGCCTTCAAGATACTTTAGCGTTTTACTGTAGGTAATTTTGGTGTTTTTGAAGTTTATGTTAAAAATTCTTCCGGGAAGATTGTTATTTAGGTGATCACAGCAAACATCTGTTTTATAAGCATGTGGTTCACTCCACGCATAATTTTCACATAGTCAGTGTATTCACCTTCAACTCTGAGATTTGCTGTCTGATTCCAGTTAAGATTTCTAACTATTTTCAGATGTGGTTATTAATTCCTGTTATTTACTAAAATTTATCATTCGCCTTGCCCAACTTTAAATCTTTTTATTGTATATTAATGATAATGTCTGTGAAAACTAATTCAATCGTTCTCTTGTATACTTGTTGCTATAAATTAAGAATTTTATACTGTAAAAACCTGGGGTTTTGTCTGACTTAACAGCTTTGAGTGCTTTATATCTAGTTGAAATTCTGTGCAAAGATTTAACGATACGAAACAATTTTTAGATGGGGGATAAAATGCATATGGACGAAAAAATACTATTCTAACCATTTACCTGATATGCATAAAGCTGATGCTGTTCATTATTTGAAATGTAACGCCGTTAAGATTTCTAACTATTTTCAGATGTGGTTATTAATTCCTGTTATTTACTAAAATTTATCATTCGCCTTGCCCAACTTTAAATCTTTTTATTGTATATTAATGATAATGTCTGTGAAAACTAATTCAATCGTTCTCCTTGTATACTTGTTGCTATAAATTAAGAATTTTATACTGTAAAAACCTGGGGTTTTGTCTGACTTAACAGCTTTGAGTGCTTTATATCTATTTGAAATTCTGTGCAAAGATTTAACGATACGAAACAATTTTTAGATGGGGGATAAAATGCATATGGACGAAAAAATACTATTCTACCATTTACCTGATATGCATAAAGCTGATGCTGTTCATTATTTGAAATGTAACGCCGAAGCCAAAAAACTGCGTAAGTATATTAAATAATAAAAGATTTTTATCTAAATAATTTGTTCATTTAACGTACATGTGGGTCAATTCAAAAACAATACACAGTAATTGTATATTACTGTGGTATAGTAACAAAGTATGAAATAAATTCTAAAATTTAGTGTAGTATTGTCTGAGATATCGGAAGCCCCAAGGAAGACATTGAAGATAATGTGGAAAGCTCTGCGCAATCATAATCGACACTTCACAAACCGACAACTTTGAAAAAACTCGAAATTGATGATTGATAAAATTTTTTTATGTAATATGACGTTTTAGACTTACTTCGTTACATTTGGCCTATCCAACAATATATTAAGAATATCATAAACATTAAAAAATACAATAACACAACATGACACAAGGGCAAACAGTTTAAAATTTTTTTAAAAATGATGAAGCTACATATTGGTTGGTATTAGGAGAGAGAATAGCTCCTGGTCTTAACGGAAATGTTAAAGTGACATGTGACATATGACTTTTGACTGGGCAGCCACAATCATGTGATATAATCTGAACATTTCAAAATTCTATAAAACTGAGGATAGAAAATCAACTGAAATTATATAGATTATTTTAAGTGGATTTCATAATCCAGATCTCACACTCAAATCTATCGTTAATAATTATGGTGTTAGTTTGGGGGCTAGGACGTAGAACTGAAGTGGACGTAGAGTATGAATGCAAGAAGCAGACTAACTATACAATCTATTAGCTAGTGGTGGTTAACTACAATAAAAGGGTCTATCAAGTACAATAAATACTGTAAAAAGAAAAAATCGAACTATGAAATTGAAATACTAAGAATTAAAAATCAAAATTGGAAGCAGCGGGTATAAATGGGGTATAATCATAATGGTTCAGTTAAATCTTCAGTTAATGCGATAACCATAAATTTAAAATGTCAAAGCATTATTTAAGATCAACTGACCAACAGTGAAAGATGTTGAAATATACAACTATGGAGATGGTACATGTAAATTACGAAGAGATATGGAGAGTGTAATCAACGCCAACTATAGACCGACTAAACCTAAACAAGCTAGTTTTGTAAATTTTTAAAGAATAAAATAGTAATTTTGATCAAAATATGAAATTGATAAAGTATTAATGGGTATACTCAGTGCAGGAAGTCTAAACAGCTAAGCTGGGTCCCCATCGACGTGAAGCTGCCATAAAGTTTTTAAAAATAGGTTTAAATTTGTACAATTTAAATTAATTTGAATATTAAGATAGTCAGAGTTTTCATTTGTATTCCTTGTAATTTCCAAATCTTCCAATAAATCCATCTCCAAGTAGCTTTTATTTCTACTAACGACATGTTAAATAGATGAACCAGTATTGATGTTAAAATTATGTTTCTTCTTCTTACGGTGCCTTATCCTTAAGGACGTTGGCCATTACATTTGCCCATTTAATCTTATTTGTAGCAGCCCTGAAAAGTTCTGTGGAGGTCATGTTCGTCCATTGCCGTAGGTTTTTAAGCCAAGAAATGCGTCTTCTTCATGGTCCTCTTTTGCTTTTGATTTTGCCTTCGATTATAAGTTGGAGCAGTTCATACTTTTGATTTCTTATGATGTGACCAAAATATTGTGTTTTCCGTTCTTTTATTATAAGCATAAGCTCTCTTTCCTTATTGATCCTCCGCAAGACTTCCACATTTGTCGTATGGCTCATATAGGATATTCTGAGCATTTTACGGTAACACCAGAATTCGAATGCTTGGATTCTTTTTTGTGTTGCTTCTGTCATTGTCCAGGCTTCAACACCATAAAGCAAGGTAGAGAAAACATAGCACTTAAGTATTCTATTTCTTAATAAGGTGCGAAGCTGGCGGTTGCATAGAACTTTTTGCATTTTGTAAAACATTGTACGTGCCTTTTCCAGGCGTATTCTTATCTCTAGTGAGTGGTCTCAAGTTTCATCAAGATTACTTCCAAGGTACGTTGTTCTTGATACTTTTTCCAGATCTGTTTCGTCGACATTGACCTTTACCCTTCTGTTTTGGTGCTTACTGATGACCATCGATTTTGTCTTCTTTGTATTCAATTTCATTCCAAATTCTCTACAGGCTCTAGTTACTTGGTCCATTAAGCGTTGCAGGGCTTCAGCATTATCTGCCAGTATGACAGTGTCATCAGCATATCGCAGGTTATTTATACATTGCCCGCTTATAATTATACCATCCGAGGTGCATTCCAAAGCTTTCTGAAATATCTTCTCAGAGTAAACATTGAACAGCAAAGGTGATAGGACACATCCCTTTCTTACTCCCTTCTCGATATTGATTTTTCTAGATGTTTCGCTTTTTATTCTGATTTTAGCCTTTTGTTCTTGGTAGAGGTTTGAAATGATCCTTAAGTCTTTATCGTCGATATTACATGACCTTAAAATATCTATTAGTTTTATCATGTTTCACCAGGTCAAACGCCTTCTGAAAGTCTATAAAACACAAGTATACATCAGAATCGACATCTCTACATCTTTCAACTATCACACGTATTAAAAAAAATGCTTTTCTTGTTCCGAACCCATTCTTAAAACCAAACCAGTGTGTTTTTGTGTGTGTGTGAGTTTGACCAGTGTGTTTGTCTAGTTTATTGTATACTCTATTGTGTATTACTCGTAGGAAAGGCTTCAACATATGAACATATTCATCAGGCTAATAATCCTATGGTCTTCACATTTCTTGGAGTTTCTCTTCTTTGGTAGTGGTATAAACACCGATGTCAGCCAACCATTTGGTATTATGCTTGTTTTGTATATTTTGTTAAATATATCTTTCATTAATTCGATGTGTTCGTCTAGTAGTATCTTTATTATTTCAATTGGGATATTATCTTCCCCAACAGCTTTTTCGTTCTTTATCTGATTTGCCTCTATGATAATTTCTTGCTTTGTGAAATAAAGTCCAGTCAATGCCTCCTGCATGTAAATGTTCGTCCTCTCTCGGTCTTGAAACACCTCTTCCACGTATTCTCTCCATCTACCTATTTGATCTTCTATGTTCAGTAGCGGGTTTCCATGTTTATCTTCGATGAAAGACGTAGAAGTTTGTTTAAATATTCCAGCGGCTTCTTTTACTTTTTTATGTAGATTGAAAGTATCATGTCTTTGTTCCAACCCTTCAATTTCTTGGCATCTTTCACTTAGCCAGGTTTCTTTGGCTTGTTGGATCTTTATTCTGATATTCTTGTGTATTTGCTTGGATGTTGTTTCATTTTTACCTCTGTATTTTCTTCTTTCGTCCATCATGTTTAGAATTTCTTCTGTCATCCATGGTTTGTTGTTTTTTCGTGTATCTTGTTTAAGGTAGTCTTCTGTTACTGTTGTGTTTTCTCAATATAGTGCCAGTCTTCCTCGGGAGTTTGTGTCGATTGTATTGTTCTGTTACTCAAGTGTCTATGTATTTCTTCTTTATAGTAATAACTTTATTACTAGTGGATTCTTCTTTAAGCTTGTCTGGGTTAATAGCTATTATTTGCTTATTTTTTTTGTTCTTTTAAATTCTATCCTAATTGTTGCAAGAAGAAGATTGTGGTCGGTTGGGATGTCAGCTCCGGGGTATGTCTTGCATGCTTTTATTGCGTTTTTGTATCTTTTGTTGACCATTATGTAATCGATTTGATTTCTTGTGATGCGTCCTTCTATTCCATCTGCTGGAGATTTCCACGTGTAGAGACGTCTGGGTGGTAACTTGAAAAAGCTGTTCATTATACTGTACTGATTTTCTTTACAGAACTGAAGCAGTCTATCTCCCCTCCCATTTCTTATTCCGAGGCCAAACTCCCCCACCGTGTCATCTTCTCTTACTTTTCCAATCTTGGCGTTAAAGTCTCCTAATATTATGTTGGTTTCATGCTTCTTTGTCTGCAGTAGAGTTTTGTTTAGGTCTTCGTAAAATTGTTCTATTTCTTCTTCTGTGCTTTGACTAGTTGGGGCATATGCCTGGATAATATTCATATTGACTGGTTTGCTGTCTATTTTTATTAGCATTATTCTATTTGTAGTAATCCAGAAACTAATTTTGCAATTTCATTAGATGTAATTATTGCTACACCGTTTTTATTTTGAGTGCCTTCATCTCCAGAATACAATACTGTATAGTTGTCCATCACGCAGGTACCTGTATTTGGCCATCTTACCTCACTGCATCCCAGTATATCAATATCAATCCTTTCCATTTCTTGAATTAAATTTGCCGCTTCATATAGACTTCTCACATTCCATGTGCCTATTCTTTTTGTTTTCCTCCGGGGGATTCTGAGCACCCTCTCCTCATTTAAGGAGTGCCCGGGACTGAGGGCCGTTGTTTTAGGTTCCATAAGCATTATGTAATTTTGCTGGGGAAATATTAGTGTAGTGGTTTCCCGTCGCCTTCTACACCGCTGTACATGTGCTGCTTCTGTGAATGTCACCACGCCACATGCTGTCCAATTCACAGCCATTTCAGTCTGCCTATGGTTAGTGTTGGATCAGCCAGCTGCCACTTTCCAGTGCTAGTTTTATACAATCCCTAAAACCATTGGGCTGCCACCTCCGCTCTCCAGGCCGTTGTGAAGACCTTCTCCTCCGCCCTGGACACTGTTGTGGACTTCATCCGTGACCCTGGAAAAGGGACCCTTAGCAGGTTCTAGTTTCCCTGGTCAAGAAACACCTGGAATCTGCGGAAGGCAGGGATTGATTTACTTCCCCTGATAGGACTATCCGAAAGGAGTTCCTACCCGCTACCTTCTAAAATTATGTTTACTGGATAATAAATGTTGACCAAAACTTGAAGAGTTTGGTCTTATAAAATGTTCTAAAATTCTAGTAGATAACTTTCGAATGGTTCTACCTACATAAGAGGCATCACATACATCACTGGTATTTTATAAATACCAGTTTTGTCAAGTGTGTTCAACTGTTCATCCTATCTTTGGTGTTGATTAAAAAATAACCTAAAGTGTTGTGTGACTTGAAGGACATTTTGATGTCTCCAATTGTAGAAGTAAAATGTTTTGATATTTTATTGGAAATGTTGCTGACATAAGTGAACAAGAAATATTTGATGTTATTTAAAGCATTGGGTTGACGTAAACATTGTGATAAATAAGCAAGCTGTTCTGCAATTTGAAGTTTAGCTCTATTTCGAAGCTTATGGATAATGTTTTCTTCTATTAGTTCCGCAGGCGTCTCAAATCGTTTTCGGACATATTGCAATACGAAGTAATAATATTCATGGGAAACTTAAAATTTCGGGAAACATTGAAGGTTGCATGGGCTGCTTATGGTCGCTCATCGACTCGATTGATAGATAAAGTACAAAAAGCGAAGGCAGAACATTTTCTGAGCTCATGAGAGCAGCCCAGAATAAAAGCTGATAGAAAGAGATTTTGGTTTCCAAGATATGAATAAGAATATTAGAATTTTGTTTACAGAATGAACCGTTTTGGTATATATTCTAATTTTATTGGTATAAAAACACACCCGATTAACATATAGATACGTTTTGTGAAACAGCGGTACACTTTATATTTATTTTCATAAACATATTAATTTGATAACTTTAAAATACAGCAAATATACATAATTGCATGTTTCAGCGCTTGATCACGTAAAAAAAGTATGGGAGATGCTAAAATGCGTTCACAAAAGTGTAGATGAGGAAGTAAGTTTTTTGTATTAGCAACATTTTTATATTATACAGAGTTTTTCTGAAAATAGTGCGTTCCTTAATGGTATAGGTAGAAAGCACAATGTAGAGTAAAAATGTCTTGTAACTTTTTTTCTAAATTCAACTGATTAACCAAAAAACGAAAATACATTTTGGTATACAAAAAAATCTGTCAATTCGTACAGTACGAAAATCTTAACGTAGACAGTCACAACTTTCGTAAGGAAATAGTTTGAAAATATTGTGTTTAGTGTCACCGCGGAAATGTTTTTAATTCGTGAGTACCATGATCTGTTGATTATTTATGGAGAGGCGCAGTGAAACATTAATTTAGCTGTCCAAATTTATGTGCATCGGTATTTCGAAAGACGAACTTTTATTGCTCGAACTTTTGTGATGTTTCCGAAAGATCTTTAGAAACGGGTTCTGTTTGTGTCGTCAAAATGTCAAAAAACGTTGTTACTAAAACATTTAGAAAACAAGTTCTACATCCATACCACTATCAGAGAGTACAAGATTGGCAGCGAGGTTAACTTTCTCAAAGATTAACAATTTAATTAATAATTTTAAAATGAACTCACTAGTTAACCTAAATTTTCATTTAAAGTGCCACTGAAGTGCCATGAAATTAAAACAGAATCTGAGTTACGGGAAGAAAATTTTGGCAATGTAGATACTATTTGACATAATTTAGTTACCTATGGCATTTTTAACAATTGGATTCGTCGTATTAACACTAGAAAGACGGGCTTAGCATACCTACCTAGAAAGCCCGAAGGGATCATTTTGGCCCCAAGTTCCTAAATCAATAAAAACCAAGTTTAGAATTAACTATTTATTTGGAAATAAACAAAAAATAAAAATAAACAGAAATTATATAAACTCTTGACGGTAGAATTTAATTTAATTTTTTAGTTTCATTTTAAATATTTGGAACACCATACAGTTTGCAGTTTTTGGCATTTGCCACACATTGCCTTGTTACAGCCGTGGCACTCATTGGAAGTATGATTTCCTTTACAAAACATTTTTAACTGACATATTTTTCTTTTTTGGCTAGTAACAGTGCTGGTGGTTGGTAAATCCGGTGGTGCTGGGTATAGTACCAGATTTCGGGAGGCAAGGCATGGAGCCCGTAATTCTTCACACAGCTGAAGAATAAACTTACGACGACTGATTTTACTTCCAGTAACCTTTTTATAAATAATCCATGCATTTATTGCTCTTAAGTCAAGAATGTTATAAAACACGTGCATTGGCCATCGTCTTGAAGAAACTTTTGTAGTATAAAGACGCGTAATTTGGTCCACTACATCAACCCCGTATTTTGTTTTATTATAAAAACTTACTGTTTGAGGAAGTTTTTTTCCATCGACAGCAACATCCACTGATTGATGTAATGAGCTCAACAAAAGCACATTTTTGTGACTCTTTCCTTGCTATGCAGTAAGTGTTATCTTTTCGTCGCTCTGGAATATATGGGTAACATATAATTCTCCATTTTTACTCTTTACGCTTAGAGGAGCTTCCTTTCTGTTGCAATTCAAAGTACCCACAAGACTTGTTGATTTTTTTTGCAATGCCTTGGCCAATTTTAACGATGTAAAGTAGTTATCTGTCGTAACATTTTTGCCCTTTCCCAGTTGATTTTCCATTAACCGCAAAACAACATGTTCACCACCACTTGTATCTTCCTTGCGTAGATGATCAGTACCAGTATAAGGGCAAACATTTACAATATATTTTGATTCCACGCATGTCAAAAGCCAAAATTGTATGCCAAACTTATCCGGCTTATTTGATATGTACTGTGTGAACGGGCACCTGGATTTAGAAGGCAGTAGTTGTTCGTCCACATTAAGGTTTATTCCCGGTTTGTAACATGCACCACTATTTTCTATAAATCCATTCCAAACCGCAGAGGCTAGAGCAAATTTCTCGGTTTTCGATAGTTCAGATCTCGTTTGCTTTATGTCAAATCTGAGGTATTTTATAATATCCTTGAATCTGTCTCGTGACATAGTTTGCCTAAAAAACTGAGGACACCATACTGTTGACTACAAGCTGTTGGTTGGGAAATTTTTGGCGCCGTAGACTCCTCTTGCGTACATAATAGTAAGGGCAGCCTCCAGTTCTTCCAAAGTTAAAGTCCATGTATCATTTTTCAAACATCGATGTGCTTCTGCAATGGTGCATTCTTTTATATGATGTAACATGATGTCGTTGATTATTAGATGCCAAGCACTTACCACACAATTGTTCCTCACGTTCCTTTTTCCATACGACGTAGGACCTGATTCCTCTCGATAAATTTTGTGCTTAGCGCGGCGTCCTGTAATGAGCAAACATTCAATGAATATGAAGATACTAAAAATCATAATCTTACCAGGTACTGTCTCCGATTGAAATAGTTTTTCCTTGTTGACCTCTTTTTCTCTTGTGACTTGGCTTAGATGCACTTGGATTCATGATAAAATTAGCTGACTCGTGCTGTTGAGTTATAGAAGCAGTGTTTACATAAATTGGTGGGTCTTATACAATAAAACTTTCTAACTGCTCTGAAGCATCACTTGAATCATTATTTTGTGGTGGTTCGTCTTGTTCATCGTCTGACTCATAATTTTCTGCAAATTCAGATTCACCTCCCGAAACATCTTCTTGTATTTTTCGTATTTCTTTAAAAAGTTTAAGCTCTGATAGTCCACGACGAGACATCTTAACAGTCGTCTTGAATTTTTACAATTGAACGAATGTTTCAATATTCTAGAAACGAGAGTCAGCAGAACCTAATAAACCGCTCAATAAACAAAATACTTTCAAGGAACAAACAGTATGTAACAAAATACCTTCTAGGAATAAACGTACATAAACATAATTTTATCTATCCGACAGAAGTTAAAGAAATCGTCAAATTTCCGAGAAAACGATAATAATTAATACAGGACCAGTTTGGACCAGTGTGTTGGAAAATCCATTTAATAAATTTAGTAAACAATATTTTTTTGCGTTAAATAAGACTTTGTATCAAAATAATGCATTTATAAGAAATGTGAACAGGATATCAGTGATGAACAATTTGGCTTCCGAAATGGATTTGGGACACGGGAAGCATTAACCAGTTTTATTATACTGCTGCAAAAATGTCGAGACCAAAAAAAGGATCTCTTTTTATGTTTTATTGACTATCAAAAGGCCTTCGACAAAGTAAAACATGATAAGCTGATGGATTGCCTTTACAAAAAGGGACTAGACGAGAACGATTTTAAAATTATCCAAACGCTGTATTTTAACCAAACTGCAGCAGTTAGAACAGAAGCCGGTGACACAGAAATATTTAATATCAAGCGAGGTGTACGACACTGGTGCGTATTGTCACCACTACTTTTCAATATATATTCGGAAAAAATCTTTGCACGAGCACTAGAGCAATCAAGAGAAGGTGTTAAAATTAACGGCAGAGTTCTAAATAATGTACGATCCGCCGACGACACGGTCCTAATTGCAGAGAGCGCACAGGATCTCCAGACACTCTTAGATCGCGTCAGATCGATCGGAGAACAATACGGCCTCAGCATTAACGTCAAGAAAACAAAAACAATGATTGTCTCCAAAACATCCATCCATCCACCCATGGCTTTAAACGTGAATGGTAACATTATCGAAAATGTCGAGAAATTTCGATATCTAGGGTGCTGGATAACGAAAGATATAGATCCAGACATAGAAATAAAATCGCGAATTGAACAAGCAAGAAATGTCTTTTTAAAAATGAAACAAATATTTACGTCCCAAACACTCAATCTCAAAATCCGATACCGAATGCTGAAATGTTACGTTTACAGCACCTTACTATATGGAATGGAGGCCTGGACCTTCAAAATCAACTCACTCAGGCGTTTGGAAAGTTTTGAAATGTGGTTATTGCGAAGGATGCTGAAAGTCCCCTGGACAGCGCATATGAGCAACGAGCAGGTCCTACACAAGATGGTACCGACAGAGAACTTTTAAAAATAATGAAAACACGGAAAACCTCATATTTGGAACACATATACAGAAATGAGAAATACCAGCTACTGCAGCTTCTTATAGAGGGAAGGTAGAAGGAAAAACGTGGTCCTGGTAGACGGCAGGCGTCCTGGTTGAAGAACATTCGTGAGTGGACTGGTTTGGATTCTCAATCTTTAATAAGAAAGCCAGGGACAGAAATGATTTTGCTCAGGTTATCGCCAACCTTCATTGAAGACGGCACCCAAAGAAGAAGAAGAATCAAAATAATAAAAGTCATAAAATATGAAATTTATTATTGTGTCAAATAAAAGAACTACAATAACTTCAAATCGCAACAGGGGCCAAATTGGCCCCTCCGAATTTCTAGTGTTAATGCATGTAGTGTTTGCGTAGGTGAAGGTCACTTTAAACATTTATTATATTAATTAGTCAAGTAAGCACAATTATCTAATTTAATTTTACAAAACCAGCAAAAAGGACGTTAGAAACGGCAGAGATAAACACACTTAGAAAAATTGATGGCAAAACACTACGAAACAGAGTACAGATATGCTACGTAGATGCAAGGTGGAGAATATCGAGGACTGAGTATGAAAGAGAAGAGTAGAATGGAATGAACATGTAAGCCTAATGACAACAAATAGAGTAATAAAGACGACAAGAGACGGTTCTTCATTAGGAAGACGATCAGTAGAACCACCACGAATCAACAAGTCTACACAAAAATATGAAGAAAAAAAATTTTAGTTCAAGTAAATGAATTTCTGATAGTCCGAGCATAGTGTCAAAAAATAAATTAGACTTATTAAACGTTGTTTATTGTAATAAATTTCCACTGTAAATTATGTAACTCAGTTAAAGCCCTTGGTATTCAACACATTTAAAGCTTAAGAAATACATAATACTAATTTAATTAAAAGATAAGTGTTTATTATAAATCTTTTCGTAGATTTTAAGTCGGCCTATAATAGTATCCTAAGAAATAA